GAACGTCGAATCTGAATCACTTGAAAAAAACACGGGGGTGCTTAACTTTTTTCCAGGTGTATAGTTGTCCAGTACATTTTGTTTTATTATATTGCCAAATACTAAAGCCTATTTTATTCAAATAATTTACTTACTGGAATTTATCTTGAGGAAAAATATTTCTTCTAAAAGCAATCCTGTTGATATATAACAGGTTGAAATTTTTAAGAGTAAAATTACTTTCAATACATTTTTGATTTGATATTTTAGTTCTTTTATACTTGATGAAGGAAGAGCAAAAGTTTTATTTGATGAAAAAGTGATTATTCGAGTTGGAAAGACTAAAGATGGTGTTCACATTGATCATGAAGCTGCCTTAGATGATGCAATAGAATCTGGAGCAGAGGATGTGCAAGAAACTGAGAATGAAGATGGAGTACCTAATCTTCAGGTAGACATTTAAATAAAGTTTCTAGTATCAGGAACAAGAAGACAGAAATTTAAATTTGTATATATTGTTTATATAACTAAAACAAAAATGGTATTTATATAATATTTTTCTGATTGTGAATAAAAACACGAGTAATACAAATTGATTATGCACACAGAATATCAACTCAGATTAGTTCAATTTTTCATAGAGTATTTAATTGAAATTGCATCCTTTCATTATTTTCAACATAAATGCTAATTTAAACTCACCATTATCTTATTACTAACAATAATTTAAGAATTTTTCATAATGCCCCCAATAAAAATTTGCTACAAAGAATATTACTGAAACAATGGTTTAATGTATGATTGAATTGTAAAGTTTTGTTTATCTTGTATTTCATCATGAAATGGATGGTTTTTGGTATAATCACAATGACGTTTTTTGTAGAATTATTCTATATGCTTGTTAGAAAGATTACCAACTTTCCTGGAAGAATAGCTTTCTTAGGATTGGTCAAATTATATGTAATAAGCAGACTTAAAATTAACTCTCTTTTTTTCTCTTACACATAAAGTGCATTGATAAAAAATGTTTATAGTATCAGAAGTTGCATTTAAAAAAAATGTAAGTCGTATCAGTTGCTTTTTGAATCTGATATGTAATAACAACAAGAACAAATATGTTGTTTAGTTAAAACTCAGAACACTACTTTTGTTCTTACATTTTTATTTCTCAATTTAGCTGAAAACTTTACATATTTAATTATATTATTTTAAATTTTGAAAAGTATTTCAAAGTTGTTTTTATTTTTTTCTTCAGTTCATTTCATCTCCTGCTGAGTTTCCAAAAGTAAAGAAATATCTTGAGCAGGCCAAGTATCCAATTGAGGAAACTGGTTTAGAATTTTTGCCTCATGTACGTGTGGCTCTTAGTGAAGAACATATGCAATTAACTGGACAACTGATAAATTTACTAGAAGATATACCAGATGTTGTTAAAGTTTTTGATAATATTGAATGATTGGAGTTATATGTCTTATGTTTAGTAGTTTTACCTATGAGTGGTTTCATTTTTAAAAAGTTTGTTATATAAATGCACATACATGTAAAAAGAGAAATTGTGGAGTAAAATACATGCAATTAGACAATTATTCTCTGCAGTTCCTTAGAAGTAAGGTACTAGTGATTAACATGTAACAATATGTAGAGAAGACATGTTTAATTTTTTTCAAATTTGATGTGTTTACAAAATACTTTATAAAACAAGAACTTGACGTTGTTTCTTTAATATTTATGTAAGCTACATTTATACAAATTATCTAGAATTCCCTAAACTCCTAATCATTTACAGAGAAATTTTAATGTTTACTACATTTAGCTAATTACATCTGTAGAACTACTAGGATCTCTTGTAATGCATCAACTCCTTATCATCAAGAATTATGTAAATTTTTATTGGTTCATTGTGTATGCTATGTCTAATTTCATATACAAAATTGTAGGAATGCTCTAACTTTTGGTTAAGTAAAGAATATATAGTTAGATAACTTTTTTTTTCCATGCTGTTTTAATATCATACAATTACGTTTTCCATAGGAATTTTAAATACAATTTTATTTATATGTGGGCTTATTTTGTTGTAATAAACTTTTTTTTTTAGGATTATTAAGATTCTTTAGTAAAACACAATGTGCAATATAAATAAGCAAGCAAAGCTTACCTGAAGATCTAAGGTAGATTATAAAAGAGATTTTTTTAGTCTGTTTCTCTATATTATTCTGTATATTAGTGGTTAATTCCGATATCTAGAAATGCATATAAAAAATTCAAATATTCCAATAAATGTTGTTATACAACATGGAAGTTATAATGCTGTGGTGTAGTTCCAATACTGGTTATGATCTTATATTGACACAACACACAAGCCAGTTGAGAAATCATTTTGGGAGAGCAACATCTCTCCTGTTCATAAAATCAAGTATAATTCCTACAAAAATGATTTCTGTTTTAATATGACCTTATTGAATATTTCAGTATTATGTTGGGACAGTAAGAAATTTGTCTTGCTTTATCATAAATCTCATTACATTTCAAAAAAGCATGTTTGAATTTTTGTAAAGGTATGCTTTTGTGTTATGAGTACTGAAACAATGTGTTTCATAATCATAATACAGCTTGTAACTTTTTGTACATAAGTCATTCAGACATTATGTCATAAACTACTAGACACAGGTTTGTAGCTAAGATAATGTTAGCAGCAAATATTTAGGCTTATCTGTTTTGGTGGAAACTCATTTATATTGTTTAGTAGAGAGAAATTGGTACAGGAATGATTAACATTGTTATAATAAAACTAAAATATTTTGAAAAGGGAATTGTATTTTAACTGAATATTCTTTAACATCATTAAGTTACAGTGTATATAATTTATATGGTATGTATTTTTTCATGATTCTAATACTAAAGAAGTAAGTACAAAAATTATAATAAAACTTGTAGGGAGTTTTTAACAGTTTGAGCATATACTTTACTATAATTTCAAGATTCTAATTACTAAAACATTAATTGATATTTTTGGTGTTAATTATCTTCTAACTCAATAGAAAGGATAAAATTGTTCAAAATAAGTATGTTACGTAGGGTAATATAACACTAAGTTTTCATAGCAGTGTACATATACATATAGAAGTGTTTTTTAGATATGTAAAGCAAGTCAAATCAACTTCAGTAGTTTCAAATTTCAGTTATAGGATTTTAAGCATTACACGAAGGACCATAGAAATCTTGTTTCCTTTAAATTGAAAGGATAACTAACTGGCAAAATCAGTGACAAAAAGTCATTATCAGAGTTGCTGTTCAAGTAGTATGTTATTGAAATACATAGAAAAAAAAAGGAAATATTTTGACTCTAATTTCAGCTACCCCTTAAGAAGAAAACTGTGAATGTTTGCCATTTTGTTTCTGTTAACTAAGCTGACTGAAATTAGTGTTGTAGAATTTAAGTTTTTTTTTTATTATTCTGAGCATTTCATTGAATACATAAATATCGACTTCTAATCATTGATCTTACCAGTCCTCCTTTACTGTATATTTATCTATTTCAAAAATATTAGTACGTCTAACGAGAGGAGATAAATAAATACACATTGCTTTTTTTTTGTTATGCTGATTACAACAAAATTTTATCTAGTTGTTTTGGATTTGTATACAAGAAACATTTGTCAAACAGTGACTCATAAATATCTAACCATTTATCTCTCTTTCATTACTCTGCTCACATATTCTTCAGTCTTTTGCTTTTTTTGTGAATTTATTATAAAGTTAATTTTTTTACTACAGTTTTTCTTAAGTTGGGGTATCTTGTTGGGTGACAACATTGATATTTTTCCTTATTTTGATGACTAAGTTAAATTAGTTTTAATATAAATATTATTCAGTTGTGTAAGATTTCTTTCTTGAAAATTTTTATTTTAATCCAACTTCTGGCAATGGTAGAGCCAATGGTCTATTTCTCCTTGTTATTAAATCTGTATTTGATGTATTGAAAGACAAATTTGTCCATGTTGATTGCTTATTGTGATCTTCATACAGTTGTTTAAATGCTTTTGGGATAAGTTGAAATTACTAATTCTATTTCTATGTGGGTCTTATTGATTATGATTTGCTTATAATTTTATTTGTCTGGATTGTAGCTTTCAGGATTCCTTGTTTATTGGTTAGTCTGTTTAATCAAGTATGTGTAAAGTTCTCCAAGTTAACACCAGTTGCTTAAAATACATTATCATGTCTGCCTCATGTGCCTTTCTCCTTTCACTGAAATAATGCATGAGAAGATCTGTGTCTTCCATTGTTTTGGCAAATATGCTTTAGTTGGCTGTCAAGGAATAGTTACTTTAACACAAAACTGTTCCTGCTTCATAATGATCTGATCCTAAGGCTATTAAAGAATCAGTATTTAGCCAGTTGTTTGCTAATCTTGGTGAAATGATAATTTTAGTATTTTATTCCTTGGATAATGTGGTTTAACTAGACTTGCATGAAAATTCAGCATGACCTGTTTTGTTGGAAACATTCTAGATATTCTAAACTTCAGTCTGTTTTAGTCACAGTGAGACCAAGATTATCAGCTGGTTTCTATTTTCCATGCAATCTAAAGCATTTGCTCCTTTCTTTGTTTAAGCTGTATTATGCTTATGTTACTGGAAGTTTATTGTATTGATCATTCATTCATGACTCATTAACATTTCTATGCAATGTTACTTCACTCAACTTTCCAGACTGAGCTTTGGACACATTTGATTACTAAAACAATTACTCTCCTAATCTGGAATTTGAAAAAATGTATACAAAACTTTTTACCTTTTTCCATAAAAGTACCTTTATCCTTTAAAAGTGCATGCAAATATAAACATTAAGTCATTTTATTTCAGAAACTGAACTTGTATTTTATAAAAAATATACTTTTTATTTTTTCTTTAATTTGTTGAAATTATAAAGATCTTATTTGTGTTTTATGTTAAATAACTGGATTTGTTTAATTATTTAACACAAGGATTATGAGATATTTCTCTCTTTTATTTTAGTAAGGGACATACAGTATACAAGTCTAATAAAAAATAAACATAGAAATAAAGTCAAGATTCTTTATGGAGATTTCTCCCTTATTCTTAATATTACAAAATCATTTAGAAAGTTTAAAACTTGCATTCAATGTGTCATTACTGAACTTTACATCAGCAGTAAACAGTAAGTACTTTCTTTGTGATTACACTTGTATTACTTTTTGTTCCATAGGCTGGGTTATTATCAAGTAATGCATATTAACACAAACCATTCAAAATATTGCTATTATCAAAACTACATCTTTCTTAGATTAATAACAATCTCAATTTAACACATTCACATGTTTATGTTAATTCTAAAATCATAACAGTAATATACAACAGCTATAAAAAGTAATAATAGAATTACTAACACTAAGCAAAAACTGAAGAAATTTGGGCAGGGAAGGCAGGTAAAAAAAAAATCATTAGAAAAATAGTAGCTATATTTTTCTCTACTAATTACGGAGGCTTGCAATGGTATTATAGTCTTGAAATTTTTACATGTTCTACAGTAATTCTTGTACTTTGAATCCAAAATTTATATACTTTTTTTTCACAAAACATCATAATGCAATACATAATTTTGAGACTAAAGGATGTAGATTTCACAAAAAAAATGGGGATAAATGAGGGTGAATATTTGTTTGACATCAATGTTCTTCCCTTTTCTTCAGTTTGTTTGTATTCTTGTTAACAAACAATAATAATAATAAAATGTTCATTGTGGTAAACAAAATAATATTTTGATCCTAGTAAGAGTTGTTTTCTTCCCGATATGTGATTAAAAATTTTTTTTTCAAAACCTGCATAGCTGAATTATGGAAAATCCGAGCATGTGTTATTGATTGTAAGTATTGTAACTTACAATAAATTATAAGAAACATATATAATATATTTATTATTAAAAAAATTGCATTTTAAATGTGGAATACATAATTTCAAATGTACTTAAGAAAACACACATCATTAATTCTTTATATTTTGAAATTAAAGGCTATATTCCTGTCTATTTTGTCTGCTCAAAACATTGCAATGGTTCACTTTTCAAAACCTTTTATACAGGTTTAGTACCTGAACCAGTAGTGAGTATGTGTATAGACACTTTGTTGATATACTACAGCCAATGTTCATGGTACTTTTTTCCAAGCTTACGCAATTAGCTGCCTAATCATTAATTATATTTATAAAAAAAAACAATATGCAAACTAATAAAAAAATAAATATTTCCTCTAACATCTCATAATCCTAAGTGAAAAACATCCTTTTGAAGTAAAAGAATTAAGTACCGATTTGTATATTTTCTCACTTAGATTGAGTTTGAAAAAACATCAGTATTATATTAGAACCAGCATCACACTGGAGAAGGCATCCACAATACAACTTAAACTATTTTTGCTTTAATTTGACTTTTTTTTTAGTACGTTGTATGTACCTTTAAAAACACTTCTCACACTTTTTGCTTATCATGATTGAAAAAAAATAAATAATTACATGAATATGCTGTACATAACATATTAAGTTACACTTGATGTATCACAGGCTGCTACAGAAACACAGTGCAATATACTGAAATTTTAATTTATTGGCTATTATTTGAAATTTAATAATAGTCCAAAGATCAGTGTTTGTATTATTCCATTCATCAATAAGCTCCAAGAAATAATATTTCTTCCAAGGTGAAATGTGCATGGCTTTGTCAAAATAATACTTTGAACATTAAGCTTCTTTTTTGGGGAAACTTCAACCGTTTTATTAATTGATTTTTCTAACTATAATCAAACAAAGTAATCATTTCTAATTCATGGATTAAAAAACTTCCTGAAATTACAGCTTTTTCAGCAATCACCATGTGCAGTCCTTTACTATGGAGGTTACAGAAATTACTCTTCATGGGGGTTTAATTCTTCACCCATATTTAAACTTATTTAGAATCAAAGATTATTTAAGGCTGTCTAATTGGCTGGTACCTCTTTAGATCCCTCCCTCCCCAAATAAGATATACTTTGGGTCATGTTGAGTAAAAAGACTCATATTATTACTAACCAATTTCATGAATTAACAACCCTCATAAGTTGAGCTACAACATTGATAAATACAATGAGATGCTACCTAATTAAACTTAAAGTGTTTTGTGAGAGAATTTTATTATTAATGACTTTTATAGCCACTTTTAACTGCTTCCATTTTGAATCAATAATTATGAGTTTCTAGCATTCCAGTTGTAAGTCACTCGACTCGCAATCTGAGGGTCACGGGTTCGCATCCTTGTCGCACCAAACATGCCCACTTGGGCGTGGAGCTAGCAACTCCACCCTGATAACAATCTGCTACAGAAACTGCAACAACACTTCCGTCGGCGAAGTGTTGTTGTAGCCCTATGTTCCACTAGGAACGACGGGAACTAAGAAAGAAAGAAAAAGAAGCATTCCAGTTGGTTAATGTGTACAATGTCTATTATTAAAGCTCAATCCATCAGATGGATAACAGGCATTATACACCATAAGCCTTCAAGTTGATGTCTTATAAAGGATAATTAATTATAAGTAGAGTTGTATCCAAAATAACCTCATGAGCTCTGGTACTGACTGAAAGATCTGGTAAGCAGCAGCACTGTACAAGAAATAAGTGGTTGAAATTGAGTGTGGGATCTTTTTACTGGAAACATTATTAACTCTTTGCTGTTTTCCCCATAGAGGAATACTTGATATGCTTTCTACTTCTATTCCCAGGGACTAAATGGGAGTACTTAGTACATCTGATATTTATATTTCCAGAAACTATATGGGCAGACTTGGTACACCACACTAACATGTATAAACGTAAAAGACTCTTGGCTTTTCATAGTCTCATCTATCATGGTCCTCCGAGACATACTGCTTATATAGCTACATTTTCATTCACAAGGGGACAGCTTGAGCTGGGCAGTATTCCACAAAATAACCTACAATTGCTATGATTATGGCATTTTGTTGAGGTGATATTTTTTTCTTTTATCACCCACATTTGTTTACAGAGAGAAAATTCAATAAACGTGAATGGAATAAAAAAATGTCAACACACAGAACAAGGAAAAAAGCTTATTATCACTGCTATTGATGATAATGAAATACAAAATGAAAGCTCTGGTGAATTACTTGAAAGTTAAGATGCAGACAACGAATCTAGTGAATAATCATTGGAATATGAGCTTGAAGAAACCCAAAATAAGAAGCTTAAAGAAATAACAAGTATGCTTCTAGCTACCATGGCACATATTTCTAGTTGTGAACTAATGTTTTGATAAGGGTTTTCTTACACTGAATCCAATGGCATAGTTTGAAGAAATCCTACAAAGACTATAAGAATTAAATACTTTTGTAACTGATATTAACAGTTAATGCAAATGTACTTATGTAATATAATATTTATGTTAATGTGAGTTTCAGTTTAAGTTTGCTCATGTCAAGAAGTTATTCTCAATTTAATATAACTTCAGTCATGCACATATACATGAACTTGCAAACACCAATTCTGTTCAAGTACAACACAAAGTTCCAAGATACTTATGCATATGCACAAATTTCTACAAATATAGAAGAAAAAACCCCCATAAATTGTCAACTATTTAGACTTAAGCTCTAGAAATAAGGAAACACATGCATTCTCTTATTCCTCAATCTGGCCACAAAATAAGAATGATGTTGTTTTTTTTGTGAGAATTAACATTTAACATTGTTTAAACTACTGCATAGTATTTTAAAGATTAAGCTTTATTTACATTTATGATATATGCACAGCCACTACTACAGATCTGTTTTTTTTAAAAGTAAGATTACAAATACAATTTTTTATTTTAAATTCTTTCATTTCATGCAGCATGTTAAAAAAATGCTAAACATCACATTTACATCACTGCACAGTTACTGATGAGCTTCATTAATTCATGACACTTTTTGTTTCAAAGTTAAAAATACATCTAATAAAATATTATAAAAATCCTCAAAAAAATTATGTTGTTTGAGATGATAAACATTGCACTAAATCACCAATAGAATATTTTTGTTGTTGTATTACAAGTTTGAGAAGAGGAATTAAATTTCTTAAACATCCACTTCATCAGATAATGGAAGACAAAACAGAAAGGGCACTGGGCAAAACTAAGTAAAAAATAACTATATCTGCTTGCATTAAGTACATAATTTCTACAAAGGTACACTGTAAGAGTGAATACGTTAAAGCTGTAGTGTCAATCACCTTAGTAAGGCGTTTTCACTCTCAGTCATTTCATAAAAAATTAATTTCTACTAAGCAAATTATAAATATTTGTACATCACTATTTTAAAACATCAATGCAGTTGCAAAGATAATTGATGTCAGTTTTTCCACTTCACTGTACCATTGTGGTTTAGGCAGTAGAGAGATTTGAATAGATATGTTTGTGTACAATCATGATAAAGGAAAATCATCACTTATATGCCCAAGAACTGAGTATATATATATCTGTAATTTATATTTTGTTTTCATTATGGTTTCTGTTGTTCCACTTGAGAATGCATGTTTAAGTAGTTCTCAAACCACCAGATCTGTGAGTGAGTTCCCTTACATTCTGTTACGTACACATCCTTGGTTGCTTTGCTTCCAGCAACATCCAAACATTTACCTGTTTCTCTGTGGATGATTGGCCCACCCTAAAAATTGCAATAATGGCTAGTATATTTACATTTACCCTATGGTTTTTACTTAAAACACAAATAAACAGAAATCTTAACCAGTAAAACAAAATATACTTTTTAAGGAAACATCTCAGTATTAATAGTTTTCTTTTATACTTATGAAAATTTTAAATGTTTCAACTTCACATGGATTATTTCTTAAATTACAATACAGAAATTACAGTTCAGATATTAAGTATACCAGATACTATTTTAAATTACATGCAGAGTATTCAAACTATAGCCTGTGGATGCATGTGCACACTACTAACTTTTTTGTAATAATCTTACCCTCATATGGTGCCACTCTTGGCCTTCACCTCTACCATGACATTTCACCATCATAACCTTCTGGTACTTAGAAGTTTTGTATAATACCTCTGCACAATTTTCTTCTTGCCTAAGCTCATTGCTTGCAGAAAGAGAGAACACCTATAAAGCAGAAAGAGGGCTACCATGTGATTATCAATTAATTATAAATTACAATTACAAACTTTGTTGATAAGAACTACAGTTTATACTTAAGCTTTCTTACAGAAAAGCACAGTGACATTTTCACTGCTATTACTTAAGTAAAATAATTTAATGACTAAACACAATATCTTAAATCCCTCTGTTTTGATGAAACACCACTTTCAATTTTGTTTTTTAAATAACTGTTCTGATGTAATTAATAAGTACTGTAGATCTAAAACTGAAATGCAGTATTTTGAGTGGAAATTTTTTTTATTATTATTTAAGTTTGTAAAAAATTAACCTTCTAAAAGCTTAAAAAAATTGAAATCACTTTCACTGTCTGCAGCCAGTTGTGGGAAGGTAGTTGCTCTTAATAAAACAATATTATAAAAGTATAATAGACTGCCACAACTAGACCACTGTATTTCATGCATAAAATGTACCTCCTGAAGCTAGCATTCCAAGACCAATAGTGATCACACATCTATAATAAATCATATTTATAAAACCTATTGAAGATTTCTATGTTAAAACATGGTTCATACAAAATAACAAGAATTTTAAAATCCCAGGACTTTCTAGGACCAAATTCTCATTTTCAAGGACCTAATCTACTGATTTTAACAGAAGTTGAACTTACACTAAAATTAAATAACTAGTTTTATTATACTTTATAAAAAAAAACACAGTTATAGCTGTACAAAACTTTCTAGCAATAATAGTAACACCTGAGCCATAAAAAAAAAAGGTTATGAAACAAGCCATTAAAAGAAATTTTGAAGAAAGCACTAAGGAATTCTTCATACACACAAATATGTATTTCAACTTTTCCCAACTTCAGTTTAATAACAAGTAATAAAGCCTTCTTTCTTCCAAAAATTGGAGCTAAAAACTTCATTAGTGTAACCAAAAACAAATTATGTTTATTAAACATATTACTTCAACTTGTATCTGAACATACATAATGACATGTTAGCATTACAATAAAGCAAGTATTCACACTTGTATTGTTACCCAGACAACTTTCATATTGTTGAACTCGTTAAAAAATATTATATACATCTTGTGGTTTTTCCCACACAATTGCATTCCATTATTTTTAAATGCTTTCTCAGTTTATTGCTGCAGTTCCACCTAACAAAGAACTTTAAATTTTGTACTTATGGTCCCGACTGTTCCCGAATTATTTAGTAATTGGGCCCAAAATGTCACTTAAAATATATCAGCCTAGCTTGATCAGTGTATAAATTATGGGTGACCTTATCACTTATAAAGTGAGAGGCAGTCTTTAATGGTGGTTAAGGTTATGACATTCATTTTATCATGTGACTGCCATTTGAATTTGACTTTCTCTCTCTCTCTGTTTATTAAAAAATTTTAAGCAATAACTGATGAAGAACTTAGACTACAAACATTAATTATTTTTAGTGTTTATGCCACAGCTGGAATCTGGAAATTTTTTAAACATGCATGTTTTTTATCATATCAAAAATTTTATGATTTTAGATTTCTGCTAAATAAGTCTTGAGCTTATTTTACGTTTGCAGTATCATTCCAAAAATAGCTACATGACACTTGTTCACTTGCAAACTGAGGTACACAGTTCAAAGTCTGATTGTGATTGGTGTTGATCATTTTCTGGCAAAACTGAGATTAACACGGTGATACAACTTGTTGTCAATAAAAACAGAGAATATGAGAGCAATAAAGTTAGGTTTTCAAGGGTTTACCAGGATATTCAGAACTGAAATGTTGTTTACAAAATTCCATGGCTTTCCATTATTTTCATGACCTGTGGGAATCCTGAAAATCCTAATATTATAAGACAAAAGAGCAAAGAATTTATCCCTCCAGATTCCAAAAAAGTATAATTTTTTAGGTTCTATTACACTGTTGACATAAGTATGTGATCATCACTGATGCTGCAATGCCAACATCAGGAGACAAGTTCTACTTATAACCCCCAGTCTTCTGGCTGTTTTTATAGTTCTAATTAGAAACAACTACCTTTCCACAAATGGCTGCAGATAAGGAATGTTAGTTTTAGATTTAGAACTTTTTTGAGTTTAAGCACCAATAATTATTCTTAATACACATAAATATTTTTTAAAACATGGGAGGCCTCCAAATAAAGATTAAATCTGACACCTACTGTATCCTGACTGCTTTACAAATCCCATCTTCTCCAGATACCTCTCTTACTAAGTTTCCTTTTACCATTACCACTATGTAATTTGTAACCTACTTTTACTTACATTTGGTTTCCCTATAAGTACATTCACCATAAGTATATTAAACTAACAATAGTAAATTTATGTAGCTATTAAAAATCGTTTTGAATAAAATCTTCAAAAATTTGAATAATTTGACCAACCTAACACATAGCATAAGGCACATATCACTTCTACTCTGTTCATAAATACTTGGAGTGTACATATTAGAGAACCCAGTTTACACACAGTCTGAAATTCACCAAATGATTAACAAAGTATCTAACAATCTCGTAATCGTTTTTTTGAAATATTGAGAATTTTAATCTCATAACTGTTACAATACAAAATGAACCACTAGAAAAATGAATATAAAAATTATGTGTAGGCTTTAATATACAATTCAAATACACCTAAAAAACTACACACACGTATGTGTATAACTTTTATTACATTAAAACCTACACGTGTGTGATTGTTTTATTATTGTTTGTTACTTGAATGTAAATTTCACTCATTGTTTAAATAAAATTATTGTGCCGATTGATTTTTTTACATGTGGCTTATTGTTAGAAATTTGAAATGATAATCAACAAAATGTGTGCATATCATAGTATAATACACATATGCATATATATTCTGTACACAGATTATGTCCAAAATGTATCGTCTATTTGTAATGCATTGAAGGAAAACATAAATAATGACCAAAGAAAGTACCCTGCACACGTAAATCATACTTATAATTTCTATACTCATGTATATTATCATTACTATGCAACAATCATAAATGTTTGCATGCTAACATGTACATACTTTTATTCGTTTTAGGATTTTTAATACATGATAAATTTACTTGATTCATTACAACACCCTTCTGGCTCTTGCAGTGGTGTAGTCCTAGTGGTTCAGATTTGTCTTCATCTCGGTTCAAATTATCTAAACAGAGATTACTAACAGGGTTACGGACCTACATGAAGCATAAAAGGGAAAAGAAGAGTATCAAATTACCAAAATTCAACAATGCAATACATATAGAAAACCTAGAAATTTCATAAATCATTTATTTATTAAATTAGCTCCTTTGTCTTGAAGTTCCTTTCCAATAAATGTATGTGAAATACAAAATTAAAAATGTATGAATCATATATATATATATATATATATATATATATATATATATACATATATTTTGATATAAACAAATGCGTTCAGATACATGCGTAACATATGTATGCTCCCAGTATGCTAGTTAGTATATTTTTAATTATGAAATTACCAAAGTTTTCTTTATTACAAGAACAAGTACAGCACCATACAAGGTTCCATTGTATTAGATTCTCAACCATTGACCTGACTGGGTTGAAAAAGAGCTAATATTGCACAAAACTGTAGTTGTCTAATTATCATGGTATGGATTTTATACAGGTAAGCTAATATGTTTCCCATTTATACTGTGCTTCATAACAATACAAGGAACACTTGATTTTTAAATCTAAGGAGGATAACCTAAAACTTGTTTTCAAATTGAAAGAGTAGAAACGTGTATATACGAACAAAAGTACTATTAGAGAGGCACTCAGTAGGGCGCATACCTCCTCCATGCAGTGTTGATCATATTCAGCTCTCAAAAAAATATGAAAATATGTCCATATGTCCACCATTATCAACAGATAGAGACCATTTTTGACAGGACAATTAGGAATAATATTCTATATATGTCCATCAAGTTTCATCAAAATCCAATCATTTTTGACTAAGTTATAGAGCAAATATAGTGTGAAAAATTGGTCCCTATATTAACAGATAGGGATTTTTTTTATTTTCGTGACCTTGCTGTGACTTTGACTTTCCAAAACCTAATGCTAATCACTTCTAAGTTGGGTCATAGTTCACATGCATACCAACTTTCTTCTAAATCCATTCACCCATTTTTGGAAAAAAACTTGCTGACAAACACATAAACAGGGATGAAAACATAACTTCCATCCACCTTTGATAGTGGAGGTAATAAGCCAAATTTCACACTTAAAGTCACTGGATTTATCTTCTGTTAATAACCTAACTGAACCAATGTAATCTGATACTGCTTAAGACTAAAGTTCTTAACTGGTTATAGTATGGGTTTTGATGCTTGATGTAAGCTAACAATTTGTTATTATAATATTAAAAACCAAAAATGACACACTGTACATGTTCATCTATTATTTATGTAAAAAAATAATTACAAATGACAACAAAATATGTAGTTAAAACTTACAATTCCAAATGCAAAAACATTCTGATCAAAAGTGAATTTTTGTGGATATATATTCTCCAAATACCACTCAAAATCCTTGCACTGTAACTTATCTCGTAGCTCAAGCCGCTTAGTGATATCCCCGTAATTAACATGCTGAAAGAGGAAAAAAAAATTATAACAAACATGCTTTATGCTGGTTTTTTTTCCTTTCATAAAACACCTGCACACTCCTTAAACCATGGTAAATGGTAGCAGCCAAATTCAAACTAATAATGAATTTGTTATAAATTACAATACAAAAACTCACCAACTTAAAGTTATTATTTTCAGCCATATTTTGAGTAAGATCTCACAAGGTTTGGTCATCTTAGCAGATTTATAGACTTGTCCTAAATCATTACACTCAGCTAAAAATACAAAATAATATTCATACGTGTAACATCACTTTCGAAAAAAGTATCTTAAACTTTATAACCAGTAAGATTCAATGAAAACAGGTAGAAAGAAAATGGAGTATGTTGTTATTGACAAAACACACAAAAACACCAGTCATTTGCTATTAATATTCCCTATATATATATATGAAATATTTATATACTTAGAAATAAACTGGTGGATGTTACAAGAATGACTAAATTTCATTAAAAAAATCACAATAGCCATCTACAAGGAGGATTATACTGGTTTTCTGTGATGTAAAATAATACCCTGTACAAAATGTACTTATAATTTTATATATATATTACATAATTCTCTGTAAATTACTCAGAAATGTTAGACCATGTTATTCTATCATTATGACATCTGAAACACCTGGCTTGGTGTAAATTTAGTGCATAAACATACTTTTAGTGAAAAAAGTTCATGATTTGGAAAGAAGTTTAAAATTTTGCTACTTGTTTTATCAATAATTTTATCCATAGTTAGTTCAGCAGTTAAAAAAAATCATAATAATGAAACTAATTATGTTATTATTTAAGAAACATTACTTAGGAAACATAATATTATTATTATGACAAAATATTATACAATTACAAAAGAAAATACATGAATCATTACATACATTTAATTCTTATTTCTTTATATGTACATTACCAATATAACATATATCATTTAAAGGGCAATGAGATTGAGGCTGTTCCATCCACTTCAAAAAGAAATTCAGATCCAGTCCTAATCATTTGAATTTTTATCAAGACTTCCCTTACGTTTACCAAATGAGGTTCATCTTTAAACATTAAAACTTTAAAAGCTCATTAATAAACAATTTACCTTAGTTAGAATAGAATTTACTGTACCTTACAGACAGAAGCTACTTAACCCTGAAAAAAATTAAAAACGTCAAATGATTTCTATTTGTGTGTTTTCATTATAATATTCATGTCCCTCTCTCTTATTAAATAGGCATTTGTACAACACTTATCACCAGCTGGTTGGCATATTAGAATGACATCCAATTACAGAATTCATCACATGATTTATACTTACCACATAAAAAGATCTAGCATGTTCAATCGCATAATTTAATATATGTTCTAAGTTAGCAATATTTCACAATTTGCATCGCTGTCATTGCTAAATTTATTTTTGAGAGATATTAAAAGATTTTCTAGTGTTTATATAACAAAAACCAAATAAATTACATAAATTCACAAGTAAAACAAAACATTACTTCATAATTTGATTGTTTCATTCATATACATCATTATGAATAACTTATGACTGATAAATTAATGGGGCAGCATAAGTATTCATGAGATCAAATGTCAACATACAAAAACTTGTAAAAAAAAATCATACTGTGACTATGCATCCAAAGAAAGCTGATGGTCAATAAGTTAGACTACAACCTGGACTAATAGCTTGGCATTAATTTTGGAATTTTAATTGTTTTTGAGTTTCTTCTTTCTTTGTGACAGTTTACATGGCGGTATCTACCTCTGCATTAACAATTTTTGAAAATAATGACACAATGAGTATTTAAAATTCCATTTTAGTCTAAAAAGATATAAAGATACCTAATTTTGGTCATCTGGTATTTTCAATGTGCAATTACATTCATAAACCATTTACTTAAATAAACTTACACTTTTTCAATATTTGACATTACTAAAAGGCACTCAGCTATGCTTGTTTGTTTGTGGGATATTATGAAAGTAATATGAGGACAATCTGTCCTAGCTGTCCCTTCTTCGGAAGTGATAGACTAGAGGAAAGGCAGCTAAACACCACCAAGTATTAAATCTTGGGCTAATTTAATCAGACAAAATGGTGGGATTTGATTATCCCTCTTATAATGTATCATCCATAGTCCCCAAGCGTGGAACACAATTTTTTTTTTTCACTAAAAGAATCTAAGCTCAACTGTCTGGCATGCTAACCACTGGGCCCATATATTAAGTAATATGTAGATTTCAATCACTTTAAATTCAAAATTTTACAGAGTTAGTTCTGTCAGTTAGACATAAATGGTTAATATTCTTACTGTAAGAATATCTTGAATAGCTTTACCCTAAGATCAGGTCTATGCATATAGAAATATTTCTTGTACTCATCCATCCACACTTCAACTGTCCTCACAGTGTTGATTCCATGAGTATCTTTATTCCCAGGGAAAGAGTAAGGGTGAAAACTACGAAAGATATGGCCTACATGAGAGCAAGGGATGATTTCCAGAGATCCACCGCACATCCAAACCTATTTGTAAGATAATATAGTCAGTGCCTTAGGTAAAGACTCTTCACTGCAACCTTTATATAATACCTGTTTTGTTATAAGTCTACATGAATTAACATTTACATTCTGGTGTATAAAAGTTATTTGTCCTTACTCTTTCAAAACTTTATTCAACTTTCAGTATTTTTGACTAGTGATAAAGAACATATTTATATTTATTTACAAATAAAACAGACTGTGTTTACTTAAAAGATTTTCTTGTAAATGTACATCTTATACATAATTTAGGATTAAAATTGCTGACAATGTTTTCGTCAAAAGTCGTTCATATATTGTTAAAATGTCTAAATTGTACAAAAATCTCACATTCACAATAAAAACTAAGCTATTTCCAAGAAATTATTAATTTAAGAGTATGGAAAAATAAACTTTAAAGTACTAAAGACACCTTTTGTATCCACTAAGGACTGCAATGATAGCTCAACAGGAAAATATTTATAACAATGTTCAACATCCAAATAATTATCCATGTTTAATATGCATATATATTTGATTTATAAGTTATATTAGGTAGATGTTTAAATATGCATATACATGTACATCCGAGTCAAAAACCTCAGATTATGTCTGTTTTTAAAACCCTTTGAGTGATGTTCACTAACTTTTGTGCACATTTTAGAAAGTTTTATTCTTTTCAAATGCAAACTTACTTTAATGCACAGACTGAAAGTAATTTTACTGTATGTTTCATTAATCCTGATCTTTATAGTAAAGTACTAAAATCATCAAAATAAATTTACATGCTCATTAATTTTGGGAATTTGTGATACAGGTTTTATAATTTCAAGAGTATATAACATTAATACATTTGTAGGAAGACAAATTGTACAAATGTGGGCTGATAGTTATGATTACCTAAAAACAAACTAATAGGAAATTATTGTACATAATAAATTATGGTCAGAAATAATCATAAAAAAGCTAACAAGTAATCTAGCAAGATATCAAGTACAAAGTATAACTCATAAAACTAGAAGATTGTCACTATTTATAACACAAAATAAACCTATTAACAAATGATGCAAAACTGAAACCAAAGGGTACCGAGTATAACACTGTCAAACCCAGAGCACATTTAGATACTATTTACAAGGCGCAATAAAGATTTTAGCAAATAATACAAACTTTAAATGTTAAGTATTTTAGGTTATGAAGCAAAACACCAACACAGGGGTCCTTCTAAAAATAATATGAAACCCACAGTACACGCGAGTGTTGTTTGCAAAACACTATATAAATTTTAGCAAATAATACACAATTCTCAAGAAGTATGAAAAGCATAATCATGAGAAAGCCAATGTTATGCTACACACTGTTAATTGCACACAATCAAGTCAATAATATAACAGTGGAATAACAGTTACATTTGAAAAAAAGTGTATTATTAATATTGTTTGTAAAACACAAAAAATACATTACCAGAAATATAAATACATGATAAGCATTACTCTGTAAAAGCTCAAGCATTGTGGTAATTAAATATGAAAAAAAAACCTTAAAACAAACAAAGCAATATTAAACATGATTTACAGTATTCAACATAGCAGTAGTAAGTATTAAGAAATTTTTTTTAAATGTATTAACTTTGAAAAAAAAAAACTAGTGCTATATCTTTCCATATTCTAGGTTTCATCAAGTTGTAATGTAATGGCTCATAAGCAGTGGAACATAAGCCTAGAAAAGAAACAGACCTACATGTGCAACAGGGAGATTAATGTTTGTTTGTTTTGAATTTCACGCAAAGCTACACGAGGGCTATCTGCATTAGCTATCCCTAATTTTGCAGTGTAAGACTAGAGGGAAGGCAGCTAGTTGACACCACCCACCGCCAACTCTTTTACCAACTAATAGTGGGATTAACCATCACATTATAATGCCCCCATGGTTGAAAGGGCGAGCATGTTTGGTGGGACGGGGATTCGAACCCGCGACCTGCAGAGTGCAAATTGAGCTCCCTAACCACCTGGCCATGCCGGGTCTGGGAGATTAATAACTGTTAGCATTAGTTTGTTTATTACCAGTATATCTCAAGTATGCAATTTATTTTACAGACATAGATAATTTAAAATCAAGAGAACACTTTACTATAGAAATTGTTTGGTACTGGTAGATAAAAACTGGCTAACTTACCAAACTCCACACAACTACCTGAATATTTACACTATGCACATGTAGAGCAGGTTCAGATATCTAAATGTTGTACCTAAACAAATAGTTTCATCTAGGTTTTTGAGCTCAAGTCTCATTTCATGAAAAATGTTGATTTAATGAAAACTAAAGAGCCCAACATTTGCGGGCAGATGCAACATGTCTCCACCAAATAATCCCAACATAGCCAATTTTGACACCAGAAAACTCTAAAACTATCTATATATTACTGCGAACCTGCAAGAAGATATCTTTATACCAAATCACATGCAAGTTGGTTGCCATACACATGAATAGTTCACAAAACCCCCAAATTGTGCTTTCTTCACTGAAAAATTGAGCAAAAGAAATTCCAAAATTGTCTATATCTCTGTCTGGGACCCGCAAAGAGTATCTTTGTACTCAATCTCACGTGAAGTGTTTGAAATATGGCTAAGTAATTAACCATAACCCCCTAAAATTATGGGTTTATTTAACCTTTTGACCCCCCCCCTCTAAAGTGCCCAAAAATTGACATATCCCACATTTTTGTATATCCATGGGACCCGTATAAAAGTATCGCTGTACCAAATTCTATGTAAATTACCCGAAATACAGTACAGTAATTGTAAAAAAAACCAATATTATGCTTTTTGTGGCATCTTGACCCTCCTATAATTACTAAAAATGGCCAAGTCCACCATTTTTGCTTGTCAATGTGTGGGAACTGTAGAAAACTATCTTTGTATCAAATCCCATGTAAATTGGTCAAAATATGGCCAAGTAATTACTAAAAACCCCAAAATTATGCTTTTTTGTGAGCTGTAACTCCCCTAAAAAAAAAAAAGACTCAAAATGGGTAAATCCAACTTTTTTGTATGTCAATGTGTTGAAAATATACATTTTGCTAATTTTCATCTTGATTGCTGTAAATACAATGACATAGGAGCCCAAAATATACATTTTTAGATTGTTTGATTTTTGAACCCATAAAATTCTTAAAAGGGTCTAAATCAAAACATGAAAAAGACACCTGGGTGTTAGAATCACAAATAATATTCAACGTTAAACTGGTACACAATTAAAAACATTTTATTTAGGCCTATCTATGGCCTTCGAAAAGTTGACGACTCTACATGTTTCGATGTTACTGGTGTATTGGATCAAGGTATAACCCATCAACTTTCAAGTCATTCTGCCAAGAAATGAAGGAATGGCAGTCAACTGAAAAGTGTTTGGAAGAAGAAGAAGAAGAAAGAAAGAAAGAAGAAACAATAGAAAATCAGTACGTCTCTCTGTGGAGACATATCATTTAGAGCAATATAACTGAAAACATATTAAATTTATTTAATAATGTATTTTATAAGTTTTAATGAAGAAAACATTATATCTATATTGTAAAATTTTATGAAAAAAATATTCAATTTATAATTTTATGAAGAAACTATTTATCATTTTAGGTCTCAATGAAAACCATCTAGACCCAAAATATACAAAATATGTGTATGAATAATTAAAGTTTTATTTGTCAAAAATTTTATTTCAACAATACTTTAAATGTCATAAGAAACAGCCTTCCATCAACTGAAAGATTTAATACCACTTATCAATTCTGATTATATTTTTGTGGAACTTGTTTAACATTCTTTGTACTGAGAATTGCCTTTTTTTTATTCTGTAATTTTTTGAAAAAACAAACAAAACAAGAATGTATAATATCACAGCCTGTTAAGCAAAGAAATGAATCTTTTTTTTTTGTTTAGAATATAATCAATAAGGTAAAGATAAAACATTATTCTATGACACTCTTAAGAATTAATCTTTTTTTTCTTGAAAAACAAGGGTCAATATGACTGTTCATACTATTTAGTTTGCTTGAATTTTACTTGTTTTATTATTATGAGTTTATTCATTAAATACATAAGCTTTCATTTCTAAATTCAGAGAACAACTCAGTTATCAAAATATTAAAACTTGTTGGTGTTTCTGTACATTTTCAATCCTGTTTATTAAAAAAATGTTATGTTTCAGTCACTTAATACTGTAATAACTTTCTTACCCTAAAAGCCATTTCTAAATTTTCGCCACCCCATACATCCATCCCTTCATCATAGCTTCCAATTTCCCAGAAGTAATTACGGTCAATGGCAAAGAGGCCACCTGCCATTGTTGGGCTTCTGTAATTTAAATAGAAACTATTTTTAAGTTTGTCCCTTATGATAATAATTTACAATTGCAGCTCACCAATGAAATGAGGGTAAAACATTACACCTACAATACAATAAATATATTATAAATGATATAATAAATGACAGAATACTTCAACCTCAAATATGCTACTCAAATTTTAGTTTCCTGATATATTGAAAAAATATTTTGAAATTTGCTAGATTTCATATATATATTTAATAAATGTATTTAACTAGAATACCAATATTAAACATACTTAGAAAGTTGTTAAAATGTTGTAATTAATTGATACTGTAATTGTTAGAAAGCATAGCTACTTTCAACATTTGGAGATTTGAAGCACTAAAATAAATGTTTGTGCTTGATGATTGGGTTTTAATTATCAGTGACTTTAATATTATATTGTAATTTTTTAAAATTTATGTATATATCAATAAACTCCAAATAATTTTATTAGCTTACACAACAATTTGTCTCTTTCCAAGTCAAAACAAATACATTTTGGATTTTTCAGTTTTCTCTTGCAAACATCATGGAATATTTCACAAAATGTATAACTTTTCAAATTGTTTAATATTAATTTTTGATACAATTTTGAATGCATGTCTTTAATAAAGCAAATATTGAATTTTTATTGGGATTATAAACAAAGATTTGTTTTTCAAGAATTTTTTGAATGTCACCTGCATCTTATATTAGAAGTATGTATTAAAAAATGTAATCTCAATACTATAATGTTAAACATAATAATACATTTTGCTTTAATGCATAATTGAGTCAAACAAACATTTATTTCATACACAGAAGGTTCATATATATATATATATACCATATTGACCTGATTATAGGGTGAGTTCAAATATAAGGCAACCCCCATTTTCAGAAACCATGAGAAAGAAAAAAAAATTAATGTCATGATGTCCATTTTTAGCTCCGCAAATTCAATACTATAACTGAACAGCCTGCAGGTGGATTAGTTGCAAGAATTGGTGATGATCTTGAGCAAATATCTGGTGTGCATGCGGAGATGGATGATATCTGGACATTCAGGAATGCGACAGGCTAGAGTAGGGAGAAGGGGCCTGTTGTTGGCCATGATTAGTAGGCAACTATAAATTTTACAGCCTAATTATTAATCAAAATACATCGCCTTATAATTGGGCCAATATGGTATATTTTTTTTATAAAATAATTTCTGGTATCTTGCTTTCTTTACAAAATGAACAGTTATTTATACAGTACTTTGTTGGAGCTACAACACTTTTCCTCTGCTCTTCTTCCCACTCAGGGATTTCTATCCATGTGAAGTGTCCATTCCATGTAAAACCACCAATTTGAAAATACTCTCCATTGCTTGCAACATACTGTAGTGTCTTGTCGTCAATGACATCAATTATTGGACAAACCACTGTTTTTCTGTCTTCTTTTATTCTCTGCAATAGTGGCTCTAGCCTGATTGTGCAACAAATGGAAAAACAGCATGGAAATTTTAGTTCTGAAATACAGCCTGGTATGAACTTAAGCATTGCCATTTTAGCTATATAAAAGTTTTGTACATACTTTATCACAATATTAATATTATTATGACATTACATCATTAGTTTTTGATGATTACTTTCTTTGCCATATTAATAAGTGTTGTAACTTTCCTTTATAACTCTTATTATTATTAAACTTTTTAAGGGCCTATTGTGTTTCAGTTTCAGCTTTTACAGAAGATCTAATGTTACTTATTACTTCCTGTGACAGTTACATCCATTTTTAAGTGTCAGAAGCTAGTTAAAGTGATAGTGTTAAACACACCACACAGTATATTTAGCATGTTTTGTTTTACATGTAAATTATATATTTTTGTGGAGAGTTCAGGTATGATTTTATTTTCTCAATTATTATTTTTTATTTACATAAACATTAAGAAAACTAATGCTACTAAATCTACACAATTTAAACAGTAACATGTATCTCATGTGTCACAAACAGATGTCATTCTCTTCTAAAACTAAAAATTAGGAATGGCTTAATGAGTTTACATTGGTTAAAATACATGTTAAGAAAATTGGAGTAAAAACAGGCATATTATAAAAGGTAACATTTTCTACGAAATTTACTTCTATGACAGTAATTCAAGCCAACAACAAGAGTTTCTGTTTTCCCTAAGTAAGATATACTATATTATTTATTGTTACTTTCATTGATAGTATTGATTATACTATTTAATATATTCAGTATTAATACTTTTTTAATTATATTATTATTTATTATTATACTTTACATTAACATATGTACTAATGACTAATCTAAGTCTCATAAGGTAGCTGAACCTTGTGAGGTACTATTTAAATTACAGCTGCAAATATCATTAATAATGAGGATATCCAACTGGTGAAAAAGTGCATTGTGGCCTTTGTAAGTAGAAACATAAAAAAGGTATTTTTGATTAGCTATACAGATTGCCAGGTTGATTTATAGTTTTACTCTTAAGTACACAACTTGCTCTGATCAGAAGTTAATATTAATTATAATAACAAGTCTTATATTAGTATATAGTAGATGCTGGCCATTAAATGTTAACTTGATTGATTAAAATAGTTTTGTTGCATGATGTTTGTATTGACAAAAAAAATTTCATTTGTATATGTTTTTCTCTGTATACAATTTTAATATGAGTATTATTTTTTATCTCTGTATTTATTATTTGCATTAATTAACCAAAAAACACATCTCACACCTGAACACTTGTGAAATACAACTAAAATTCTGCCAAACTTTTGTTTGCTTATAAAAAAAACAATTAAACCAGAATTACACAATGTACACTACAGTCCTCAAAATTTATTGCGGGTCAATGGGCAGTAATGTTTAAAAAATTAAAATGCCCAATTTAAAAAACAGACATCATAACTATGATGAATACTTTATTAAAATAAATCAACACTATAACATGGATGTGTAAGTGCATAATTCCTATGATGCATTCTTGAACTAAATAGCTTTATTTACTAAGGTACTTTACTATAAAAACCTGTAAAAATGACAACAATTTCAATATTTTCCTCTCCCTCAACTTACCACATGAAATTTGTTTCACAATGAGAATCCAAAAATACCAAGACGTCCCCAGTAGCAATTTGTGCTCCAGCCAATCGGGCTCTGATTAACCCTTCCCGTTTCTTCATGCGTAAGAGTTTTATTTTATTTTTTGGCAGATTCTTTTTTAAGTAGTTTTCCAGCTTTCCTTTCAAATACTCTGATAAGATAGTATGAAATCCACATATCAATATTTCTTTTAACTTAACCCAAACATTACATTCTCATGTCATAACAGTAACATTTATTCAGCTTTAGAGATATATACCTAGAACTCAAAAAAAATTCTCAGTGTGATAAAAAATATCAAAGCATGTTTTTTAACATTTGTAATTTCAAGTTTTACAGTAATATTTTCAGCATCAGTATGAAGATGCTGCCACTTCTTTCTTTCTCTCTCTCAACAAGTTAACACACCTAAGCTGTTTTTCCCTGTGTTTTTTATATGTCATGTATGCCTTTTCTCTTTTTTTCTTACTGTGTTATGAAGGTTTAAGTTCATAGTAAAGTTAAATATTTTTAAGCTAGATATAGAGGGTTCATATAAAAAATACAATTCAACGTCTTGTTACGTAAAATATTTAGAACTAGTTTAAATTGGAATAAAAATGTCTGAATAATTTTGTAGTTTTCATGTGAAAATTTAAAATTTTCTTTTAATGACTGACAATCATAAAATCATACTTTTTTAAATGCTAATATTACTTCCTAGTACAAAATTTTCATTTTCATAAATGATATAAAATGTTCAATAAGCAAAACAAAAATATTAAATATTAAAATATTAAATATTTTACCTATTTTTCAGAACATTATATTAACAAATACCAACACCAGATGCACAAACTGCAGTTCACCACTATTAGAAGCTGAATTAGTTATAGTAGGAATATATATAATGTTATGTTTATTTTTATTTCATTGTTAACTATATTATTCTTTTCATAAATGAATAATTACCACTATCTTTTTTGTATTCCTAAAAAAAAAGTTAATTAGATTTACAGTACGAAGCATTTACATCCTTTCAATAATGTACTATTACCAATCAAGTACACAGTTCTAAATCTCATTGAAAATAAAATGCAATAAAAGAACTACATTCATTTCTAAGTTCTATATTTTGAGTTTTGGCACAATTTCTTAATATATACAGATATACACATACATCAAACTGAAAAACTTCTGAATAAAAATTTGTCAATGCTACTAAAAGCTAGAAAACCATTTATACTTAAGCCACAAAGGTTTTTCTTTACTGAATCATATATAGATATAGCTTAATACTAATAGTAACTAAACAATGTATGTAAAACAGGACAACATACCTAGAGTACTTAAATCATCCACTAAAATTATTTCATGAAGAAGATGTGATGGAGTTCTGTTCATAACACTATGGATTGTCCGCAAAAGACTTGACCACATTTCATTTGTGAAAATTATCACAATGCTGGCTGTTGGAAGGTTATTCTCATATTGTACATTTTTACATCTGAAATTTAAAGAGAAAACCAGTTAATACTAATGAATCAGAAAAACACTAACATCTATGCACTTAAATGCCAACATATTATACCATTACTTCCTTTCATGTATGTACATGTAGTTGAACAGGATGTATACTATTACTTCCTTTCATTCACGTACATATAGTTGAACAGGATGTATAGCATCACTTCCTTTGTTTCACGTACATATAGTTAAACAGGATGTATAGCATCACTTCCTTTCGTTCACGTACATATAGTTCAACAGGATGTATAGCATCACTTCCTTTCATTCATGTACATATAGTTCAACAGGATGTATAGCATCACTTCCTTTTATTCACGTACATATAGTTCAACAGGATGTATAGCATCACTTTCTTTCTTTAACGTACATATAGTTGAACAGGATGTATAGCATCACTTCCTTTCATACATATATGTCTAGTTGAACAGAAGGTATACCATTACTTCATTTCATACATGTACATGTGGTTGAACAGGATATATAGCACCACTTTATTTCATACATGTACATGTGGTTGAACCGGATGTTTAGCATCACTTTCTTTCATACATGTACATGTGGTTAAACCGGATGTTTAGCATCACTTTCTTTCATACATGTACATGTGGTTGAACAGAATGTATACCATTACTTCCTTTCATACATGTATGTCTAGTTGAACAGAACGTATACAATTACTTCCTTTCAAACATGTAACATTTGTAACTTCAACAATTTTTTTAGCTGGTGATAATACAAATACAGCTTTGATTTCTATGTCACGACAAACAATTTTATGCTAAAACGTTATGAATAAACCATTCTTAAAAACTTGAATGGGTTGAACTTCTTCCAGAGATCACTTCGAGAGAGAGAAATAAATCCTGAAATATTAGAAAGCTTACTATAGGTTTGTTGATCAAACAGAACAATCAACTGGACATACACTGTATAATCTATAGCAGGAATGCCCAAACTATGGCCCACAGCCATACTTGATT